AAGGGGGTAGTGTGGCTGTAAGTAGGGGCTGGCAAGAGGGAAGGGGTGGAGCGAAGGAAATTTGACCATATTGGGTGAAGGGGGTAGTGTGGCTGTGTTGGAGACATGTTCAGTGATTGGCTATGCTGTAGAATACCACTATTACTTCCTGGCATCATGCCCTGGTTCCCATTTTGGAGTCCACTGCTTTAGAGAAAGTTTAGGAACCACTTCAGCCCTAGTAGATACACCAAGAAGAGGGTATCTTGGGACAGACTATCTTATTTTTTGTCTTTATATTTCTATATACGGTGTTTGCACATAGTAGGTATTTTATTTTATTTTATTTTTAGGCAGATGGGGTTAAGTGACTTGTCCAGGGTCACACAGCTAAGTGTCAAGAATTTGGTCTGAGACCTGATTTGAACTCAGGTTCTCCTGACTTCAGGGCCATTGCTCTATCCACTACGCTACCTAGCTGCCTCTACCTAGTAGGTATTTAATAAAGGTTTGTGAATTTAAAAGTTTCCTTAGACATTTTATTATTGCCTAAGGCAAAGACACTAATGTGCTATCTTAGGCTGCTTGGTAGTGCTGTGCTGGAGTCGAAAAGACCTTAGTTTAAATTTGGCCTCATACACTACTAGCTGTGTGATCCTGGGCAAGTCACTTTACCTCTGTTTGCCTCAGTTTCTTCATCTGTAGAATGGGGATTATATTAGCACCTGCTTTCCACAGTTGTTGTGAAGATTAAATGAGATAATGTTTGCAAATTGCTTAGTCCAGTGCCTGGCATATAATAGGTGCTATATAAATGCTAACTATTATTATTAGTTAGTAGTCAGAGACTAATACAAGAAATTTTCCAGTATATATTAAAATATTTGTGTTTGTTGATGATTAAGTTCCTAAGTAAAGAAAAGAATTTGTAAGTTCACTGTTGTTTTCATAAGCAGCAAGTTAAACTTAGCCCAAACCATTCCATTTTGTGATTCTTATGTTCTTGTCTGTAATATACAAAGTTAGTAGCATATTTGAGTACATTCAGTTGTCCTGGGTATTAAGTTACCTTCCCCACCCCTCCATTGATAGTTTAGTTCTGCAGTAAATGGAAAGAGGATTTTAGGGTGATCTGCAAAGGTGATAACTTAGTAGGCTAGTTGCAAGGCACTGAATAAGTGGCATATATTCTGTTTATTGCTTTTAGCACTATGCTTAGTGATTTGGGATAGTTGACAGTTGTGGAAATAATTTTATTTTAATCTGTCAAAATAAAGATGTAATGTAATCGCCCCTAGAACACCTTGGTAGAATTATTGGATAAAAAGACAACAAAAAATCTGACATAGTAAATACCTATAGTGATATAATTATACCTATGAACTAAATATGTTTTTTGCTTATGGGTTAGAATGGTAAGATACAGCAATACGTCTGTCCTATAGACGTAAGAAATAGAATCATAAAATCTAATAATTGAGTCTGGGAACAGTAACCAACTTGAAACATCTATCAAATAATCATTTGAGTCTCTAAAGATATCTAATGTTCTAGAACTTCTTATCTCCCAAGAGAGTCCATTCCTTTTTTGGGTTGTTCTTGTTGTTAGGAAATGTTTTCTTATATTGATAAATTTGTTTCCCACCTAAGGATGCAAATACAAAAGTGACATAATCCCTACTCTTAAGGAACTTACATTCTACTGGAATGTTAATTTACAGTGTTAATGGGGGGAAAAGGGTATCCTTGACTCTTCTCTGTAAGTGGGAAAAGCTCTCGTGCTTTCCTGTACTCTACCAAGAGATAGTGTGATATAATAGAAAAAGTGCCAGACTGGATGACAAGTTCTGGTTCGAACCCTAATTCTTCCCTCACTAGCTCTGTGACATTGGACAAATCATTTTTACTTCCCTGGGCCTTGTTTTCCTCATGTGTGAAAAAAAAAAAAGAGAGAGAGAGAGGAAGAGTAGATTAGATGATATCTAATAGGTCTCTTCTAACTCTAGCATTTAAAAACATCACTCTCACTCTTTGCTCTTTCTTCTGATGCACTGAGCAGTGGGGCTTTGCCCCAGTTGGGAAGCAAGAGAGAAGGTCTGTAATTAAGACAAAGTGAGGCAACAGAAGAGATGAATTTTTTTGACTTTGACCATGACCTTGAAGTAGCATGGTGGCAAGCCTTCCTTGCCAAGGCCTGGCACTGAATCCACTCCCCCTGCTTCCTCATGAACTGATCTTGGCAAGAAGTGGTCAGAGAGAAGATCCCTGCTAGTAATGGGTCACTGACTGGAGAAGTATCATTGGTCATCAGGAATATCTCCTGGCACCAGACAGCAAATCCGTATTCTGTCACTTAAAAAACAACCTGAGGACCCCAGACCTCCAAGGAGGCCACAGGTTCGTGGATATATTGATTTTTCAGGTGGTACATTCATACATACATACATGTAAACATATGTGTGTATGTCTACACACTATGTACAGTCTTCATTTTCACTAACTTCTAACTAAAATTTCGCATTTCCTTCAATTATGAACGTAGACAATAAAACATTCCAAAGAAGAAAGAGATCTATACATAGCTTTCACGCATCTAACAAAAGGAGTCCATGACACACAAAAAAGTTAAGAACCCCTGTTCTTCCTGGCAGCATGGATCAGTTGTAAACTGTTATGTTCTCTAATCTCCTTTGCTAACCGGCAGGACAGTGGCCAGGGCAGAATAAACAATAAAATCATTCATTTCCTAGAATTTCTTGATTTGAAGCAGCTTATATACTATCTGTGAACTGCCAAGGTCTTTTGGGGTGGGAGAAGTTTTATTGTGCATTTATTGCTTTTACTGATAATATGTTGAGAGTAGAGAAAAAGATTTGTTTCTCTGGGAAGAAACTCCATTATGCTAAAGCTGCACCAGCAAAATATAGCAAGGCCAGGGAAGAGGTGGGGTTTGTTAAGCGGAAGATTGAGAACTGAACCTACTAGGGGACAAATGTTATAGTGTACACCCCCAAGGTAGCAAAGAGGGGCTGGCTACCTAGGGGAAGGAGAAACTGTGGGGAACAAAGTCAAGTACTCTCTGAGAACCGTAGAGAAGGTCATAGGGCCACAGATTTACAGAAGGAAGATACCTTCAAAGTCATCTGATCCAACTTCCTCATTTTATAGTTGAAAAAATTGAAGCCTAGAGAAGTGTAAGTGATTTGCTCACTCAGTAAGCACAAAGTCAGGATTGGAACACCAGCCCTCTGATACCAAATCCCAGGCCTCTTTCTAGTGCACAGAAAAATTTATGTGGAGGTATAAATCATCAGCCCTTCTTCAGCACCATTGCCCAGTGGATCCTTTAGTGATAAGTACCAGGATCAGTTAGTAAGGACCTGTCAAATAGTGTCAGATTGGTAGCTAATGCCACTATCTGTTAGTCAAAATTCTAAGATTCTCCATTGATTTTTGTCTTCTTTTTTGGGGGAGTGGGGAGAAGATATAGACTAACATAGATAGCATAATGGAAAAGTCACTGCATTTGGGATCAGAAAACTTGAGTTTGATTTCTAGACTCTGCTATTTTATTCTTTTTGTGACCTTGGATGAGTCATTGAACCTATCTGGGCTTTGTTTTCAAAATGAAAGGTCGGACAACTTCTCTACCATCCTTCCAATTCTAAGTTGTAATACCACAGTTGTTGTTTTTTTGTTTTTTTACCAGTAGTAGTAGTGGTGGTGGTGGTGGTGGTAGTAGTAGTAGTAGTGGTAGTAGTAGTGATAGTAGTAATAGCTAGTATGATAATAATAATAGCAAGTATTTATATGGTGCTTTAAGATTTATAAACCACTTTATATATGTATTAACTCATTTGATTCTCTCAATAACCTTGCAAAGTAGGGGCTATTATTAAAATCATTTTACAGATAAGGAAATTGAAGCAGAGAGGGTGTGACTTGTCTCCTCACTGACACTTCTAACAAGTGTCCAAGAAGGATTCAAATTCAGGGCTTTCTGACTCCAAGGTCTTGTTCTGTGTATGGTATAATTAACATAAAGAGGTTTTAAAGACACTTCTGACTTGCTGTTAGTGTTATCCATGCCCCCTATCCCCAACCCCAAGTGTGGAGATAATGTAAAAAAGTCTGACAAGTTTGACCAGGACACTTCTTAACCAAATATGACTTGGTAATTTCACCCGGTAGTGTACAAAGACCCATAAATCGAATGTGTTACTGATTAAGGGTGCAGAAATAGAATGATTCCATTATGTAAATAGTGTGTTGTTGGGTGGATTCTTTTCTGGTCATTTCCAAGAAGCATGGGGTGGCACCTTACCTAAACATTCCCATTAATATGTTGAGATCAGCAGACTATTTTTGGTCAGAGTCCTGAACTGAGTCTTTAAAAGGGCATTTTCAGCTTAGTTGTTTATATTTGATTGATGGCTGCTCTTTTTCCCATTAGAAGTTTTAGGAATATTTAGAAGGTTTTTGGTTTGTTTTTTTTTTTTTAACAATTTTTGGATCACCACAATAAATTGTTCTTCCATCAACAACGTAACATTCTATTAACTAAGTAAGCATTTGAGGACCCAACCCATGAAAATATTTGTGGCAAGAGGATGTGACACATTCCAAAGGGATTTGAAGGATAAGTGATCATTTCAGGACTTACTGTGCCCACCACCTCTAAGTTTATGTTTTTTAAGGCAGCAAAGACTAGGATATTGTCTGTGACATTCCTTCCTCTGAACCAGTCACAGGTCATGCTCCAATTGGAAAGTTCGTTCCTTGAAACAGTGGACAGAATGATGGTGGCAGAGCAGGATTCATCCCTAATGTGTAAATCTCCACCTGAACTATTTTCAAGTATAGGCAGAACCTCATTATCAAATCTAAGCAGATAAATTATTTATTTCAAATGATAATACCACACCCTTTTGTTCCTCAATCATGTAACCTCTCTTAACAACAATTTCCTTATGTATAAAATAAGGATAATAATCCTTATCTTGCCTACCTCACAGGGCAGTTAAGTATGAGCCAGTGTGTCCAGTTGTGGAAAAAAGGCTGAGCCTATAGTCAAGACACCCTGGGTTTGAAGCTTGACTCTGTGCCTTACAAGGAGGAGGTTGGTAAGCTGCTTAATGTTTTTTTTATCCCTAATTTTCCTCATCTATAAAGTGGACAGCTATAGATGATGAAAAACAGGAAGAGAAAAGTTAACTGACCCAGTTAAGTGGTAGTATTGTATAGTGGATGAAGAATTAACTTGAGTCATAAAGACTTGATTCTGATACATGCTGATGGTGTGACTTCCCTCCCTATCCCATTCCAAATTTCTAAGACTACAATGCTAATAGCTAAAATTTATGTAGCACTTAGCATGTGCCAGGTACTGCGCCAAGAGCTTTATAATAAATTACACATAATACCTCACATTCTTGATCTTTAAAGATCAAGAAAAAAAATTTTTTTTTTTAAATTTAGTACCTATGAATCACATTGGTACCTAATAAACACCTCACAATAACCTTAGGAAGTAAGTGCTTATTCTTAACCCCATTTTACAGTTGAGGAAACTGAGGCAGACAGATGAAGTGACTTGCCCAGGGTCACATAGCTAGTAAGTGTCTGAGGCCAAATTTGAACTCTGGTCTTTCTGACTCCAGACCCAGTGCTTTATCCGCTGTACCACCTGACTGCCCCAGAGCCAACCAAGACATTTCACCACTCAGATGTTCTATTTTTCTGCTTTAGAGGCTCACTAGTAAATCTTTGGAGTTACCACTTCTATTTATAGGTCATTGCTTTAGTGCCAAGTTTGTTATCGCCTTTCTTCAGGCTCAATAAAATCAAAGAATTTGGGACTTAACCCCTAGTAATGTCTCCTCTGGTGAATAGGAAAGTCTGGAGAAAACACTTGGAGCAGGAAATTCAAGAGTACCCAGAGCTGTTTTTATCAGTTCAGGAACACTAGACTTGCAAATTGTATCCTGTTCTTTTCTAGCTACAGAAAAGCCTTTATTAAGGAAAGGACAATGTTAAATCCATTAGGGGAATGAATTTGCAATATAATAAGTGTCACTCAGCTGGCTGGATCTGTGGTTTGTTTGGCTCTATTGTTTCATTCTTTGGAATTTATTACTAAGGTCCTTATAGGCTCAGTTATACTATAACTTGATGGTAAACAACTGAGTGTTGGTGCACATCTGTGTGCATATGGTTTTTTGTTTGTTTGTTTTTGTTTAAACTCCCAAAACACTATTTGGTCAAAACTATTTTGAAGACTTGGGACTTTCTTGAATTTTGGCATCTCAAGATAATTTTGCTCTTGAAAGTGAGTTATGTAGCTTTAATCATTCAGTGTAACATTACTGCTCTAAAGTGAATTCAATATATCCAGATTTGAAACCATTGAGTCTAGTTTCTCCGAAAAATCAGCCCCTGAGATTGGATTGTTTGTATAAAGCGAGTTCACATACTTGTATATAATTTTTGTCATTCACTTGTTTCAGTTGGGTCCGACTCTCCATGGCCCCATTTGGGGTGTTTTTTGTTTTTATTTTTTTGTTTGTTTGTTTTGGCAAAGATACTGGAGTAGTTTGCCATTTCTTTCTCTAACATCTATTATACACATGCGATAAATGTGAAACCCTGTGCCTTCACATTGGCTACATTCTACAAATGTAATCATTTGGCAAATACCTCTGGTTTGGAAAGTTGGATTTGCTATGTTCATTTTATTTATTGATTGTATGATCATTATTTATAAGTTTTGTTTTGATATAGGCACTGCCCATAAGCAGTTCACTTCCCTCCATGCTACTTTCCCATAAAAAAAAAAAAGCAGTAAGATTATATAATGTGAGTCAGCTAGGTGGTGTAGTAGGTAAAACTCTGGGCTTCACATTCAGGAGACCTGAGTTCAAATATGTCCTCAAACATTAAGTGCCTACTATGTGCCAGGCAGGGTGACTGTTAATAGTTGTGTGACTCTGGACAAGTTACTTAACCTCTGTTTTCTTCAGTTTCCCCTTCTGTAAAATGGGAAACACATTAGCACTTACTTTGCAGGGTTATTGTAAGGCTCAAATGAGATAATACTTGTAAATCACTTAGAGTGCCTAGTACATAGTAGGTGCATTATATGAATGCTTTCCTTCCCTCTTCCGTGATATAGTGATCGAAAGTGGAAGTATATCATTTCCATTTTTTGTTGCTTTTTATTTGTTCACCGAAAGATATATGCTTTAATTTTAATAAAGTCCAAATTGCCTCTTAAATTTGACCTGAAATTAATGACCTTTTAGCATTATCTTCATTTAAATTGTGTATGTTGTTCCTTTGATTGTGTCTTCCCATATTTCTTTGAATCTCTCATATTCTTCATCACTTATGGCGTAAGGATATTCCATTTTATTCATGTACCATTTTATCCAACCATTCCTCCATTGATAAGCACATAATTTGTTTCCATCTTTTTGCTATTATAAGTGCTGTTATCAGTATTTTCTTACATGTGGGATTTGTTTTTTCTGTCATTGACCTCCTTGGGAGACTGAGGATAAACCTAATAGCAGGATTACCACATCAGAGGGTAAGAATATTTTTTAGAAACTTTTCTCACACAATTTTTAAGTCATATTTTAGATGATAAAACAATTCTCAACTCTACCAGCAGCAGATTAGTGTCTTTTCCTTCCCATAGCATTGGCTTTTCCTGTCTTCCTTGCCAATTTGGTGGGTGTGGTGTGGTGATAGTTCAAAATTGTTTTAATTGACATTTATCTCAGTATGAGTGATTTTGAAAAGTTTTTCAGATGACTAGTAAGAGTTTGCATTTTTTTTAAGAAAGCTAATCAACCTCTAAAATGCTTGTCTATGTGATACAAAGGTTTTCTTCGCTCTAATCTACATCTTTTCTTCTTATTATATTCATATTCTTAATATGTTAAAACCATAGATTTAGAGCTGAAAGGGACCACAGAGGTTATCTAACACAAGTCCCTCATATTTTCCGAAGGAGAAAACTGAGGCCCAAGGAAGTTAAATAATTTGCTTAAGGGCACAGAGCTAGTCAGCACCAGAAATGGGATTTGAATCCAGGTCTTCTGACTCTATTGCCGGTGTTCTTTCCATGATAACATATGGCCTCTTCGTTATTTTGTCTTTTTCTTCTTCTCATGTCTAGCTGTGAATCTTTCCCCATTTGCAGTTGTAAAACCTTTACTTTTTTTTAACTCTCATTTTTATGATGTTTTTAAAAAAAAATTTACAAATCAAGAAATCCTCCCTAAATAGTCTGTTCTTGAATTTATCAAGCACTAGATTTCATTTGCTTCTATTTATTGCACTTACTTGATTGTCTTTTTTAAAATCTAGTACCAGATAATTTTTGTGATTATTATTTTATACTATAATATAATTTTTGATCTGGTAATCTCACTTCATTCCTGTTGTTGATTTTTTTTTCATAGTTTCCGTCATGACATTCTTGACCTTTTGTTCTTTTTTTTTTTTACCTAGTCCCACAAAGTATCCCCTTGATAATTTCATTGGGGTTACACTAAATCTGTAGAGTTATATAGGTAGTTTCATTTTTATTATATTAGCACACATCAGTCACGAATACTGAATTACATCTCCAATTATTTAGTCTTTGCTCCCATAAACCTGATTTTGTGACTCTATTTATATATCAGTCATGCATCCATTAGTAAGTTGGTTGTGTGGATTTATTTTGTATCTTGCTTCTTTTTTGATGCTATTCATCATCTCAGTGTTTTATTTATTCTCCAAGGTTCTTAGGCAGTTATCCACGCACTTTTTTTTTTTTGAGGCAGTCAGAGTTAATTGACTTGCCCAGGGTCACATAGCTAGTAAGTGTCTGAGGCTGGATTTGAATTCAGGTCCTCCTGACTCCAGGGCTGATAGCCTCATTCACTGTGCCACCTAGCTGCCTCTCATCTATGCACTCTTCAAAAGTATTTTATTGTAATTATTTCAATATAATTGGTTTCCTTTATAATCCTGTGTATTTTGTTTTATGCATTTAAAAATATACTGAGTTTTTCCAGGCTTTACCAGACTTCTAAAGGGATCTATGACACAAAAAAAAGATTAAAAAATCCTGTTCTAGGATTTTCCAAGTGAACCATTATATAATCTACCAGTAGGGATAATCTTACCTCCTTTTTGCTAGTTTTTATCCCCTTAATTTCTTTTTCTTTTCTTATCACTATAGCTAGCATTTCTATTTCTCTACCAAATTATAGTGGTGGTAATGAAATCTTTGCTTTCCCTGATCTTATTAGGAAAGTTTCCAGTGTTTCTCAGTTACAAATAACACTAGTTATTGGTTTTAGATAAATGCTTTTTGTGATCTTAAGTAAAGGAATCTCCATTCTAATAATTTTTTGAAAAAGCATTTTTAATACAAGTAAGTGCCATATTTTAAGTTTTTTTCTAAATGTAAGTTTTGCTAATAATATGATTATGCTAATTGTTTTTCTGATTTTGAATCCTTACTATAGTTTTTCCATAATATTTTAATGCATATGTTAATGTAATTGCTTTGCTAATATTTTGTTTTAAATATTGTATCAATATTCGTGAGTGATATAGGTGTCTAATTCTTCCTCAGTTTTATCTCTTCTTAATTTGACTATCTGAAGAATATTTGTTTTATAAAAGAAGTTTGATGGAGTGCCTTCTTTCTCTATTTTTTGAAAAGAATTAATTGATCTTAAAATATTTGATGCAAAGCAGGTATAAATCTATCTAGTTCAGTTGCCCTGTCGTCCCTCCTTTGGGAGTTTATGGTTTTCTCAGTCTCTTTTTATGAGATTGAATTGTTTAGGAGGAATTTTTATAAATATTCATCTATTACCATTAAGTTATCAGCTTCATTGGCAAATAATTGATTACAGAACTTTTCTGATAATTATCTTTATTTCTGCTCCATTCATTGTGAATTTGTTCTCATTTTTTTTTCATTTTGTCCATTTAATTTTAAAGTCAAATTTGCTAATGGTTTGTCAATTTTGTTAGGCTTTTTAGAGAATAGCTCTTTGTTTAGTACATCAGCTCAATAGTCTTTTTGTTTTTAATTCAATTTCCCCTGTGGTTTTCAACATTTTTTCTTTCATACTTCTTTTGAGATTATTTGTTGATTTTTCAGTTTTTAATTGCAAACTCAATTCATTAGTTATTTCTTTTTTTCTTTGTTAATAGAGATATAAATTTTATTTTAAGAATTGCTTTAATATCAAATATATTGGTACTTTGTCTTCCTATTTTCATTTACTTCAATGTGATTTATTTATTAATTCTATGATTTGTCTTTTGATCTGTTCTTTATTTAGATTAGGCTATTGTCCTTTAGTATACATTTAGGTCAGTATACCAATGCTTACCATAGCGACTGGCCCATAAGTAAGCACTTATTTACACACATAGTATCCATCTTTATGGAGTTTGCACATAAATGTTCTCTATTTGTTTTCTTAATGATCTTAAGACAAGGTAAACCTTCTAAAAGACAATTGCCTTATTTCCATTTCCTCCTTTCCCCAGTAGAGATATGAATGTGTTTCTGGATCTCCTCCCTCCCCATTTTTCTACTTTGTTTAAATGATCTTCATATGTCCTATCCCATTATTAAAAATATCAGCTTATTTCTTCCTCTTACTTTTTGCCTCATCTAGGATAATTTTATCTGTTTTACTTTTCATGGAGAACATGGCTTGTCTATAATTATTTTCTCTTTGTTCTTGCTATTACCTTCAGATAAGGTAGAACTTCTGGAAGACAAAATAGTTTTGTCTTCTCTTTGCCACTTGCAGATATTGATGTAGCTGCCTGATTTATTTTTTGCCTCCATAGACTTGTTCACCTTTTTTAAAGTTTTCTTTTGCTTGATGAATTTATGTTGCCAAATGTCTTATTTAACTCTATTTCCTTTGTTTTCTCATGATTAGCATATGGTTTTGCACATTCTAGCTGATTTTCCTTGATTTATGAGAGCCTCTGTTGTTTGCAAGATTCTTTCATTTTGATGTTCTAGAATTTGGCAGCTACATTTCTAGGTTAGTTAAACTTTGGGTGCTTCTCTGATGGGGTCAGATATACTTTGCCCTCTGGTACCTTTTCCTGTGAAAGGTTACTCTCTTACTATGTCTACCTACTACCTTTGAATTTTAGTTTTAGTCATTTTTGTTCCTTCCTCTCCTGGGGAATTCTAGTTAAGTGTAGGGATTCAAATCTACTTGAGGTGAGCCTAAGTGTTTATTGCTAAGAATAATCGCATTTTTTCATATATGATATTTTTTAAATCCCTCTGGACTAAAGATAGCCTGAACTATTTTTGATGACCTATGATTTATCCAGACTAGATCTTCAATGCTGCACATAACGTCCTCCTAGAACAATCTATTATTAGTAATAACTCAGAAATATACAAATGACAAAATATTTACTAAGTGCTTAGTATTTGATAGGTACTTGTATTAATCACTAAAGATACAAATATAAAAAGTAAGACAGTCCTTGCCCTCAAAGAGTGTATATTATAATAGGGAAAGAAAACATAGAGGAGGATGTTCAGAGGGAAGGGCATTTTGGTGTGAAAAATCAAAATAGCATGATAGGCAGAAGTGGGAAGGAAGAAGTAGTGTGTGTGAGCAATTGTATGGTGGAAAGATGACTAGAATACAGTTTGGTGGGATTCGGGATGTGGTAGGTAACTCTTACAATAACAGATCTGTGAGGAGGATAGTACAATTACTACCTTCATTGACAAGTAAGGAGATTTAAGACAAGTCAAATGACTTGCATAAAGTCACATAGCTAATAAGTGATAAAGGTGAGACTTGAACCCAGGTTGTCTAGTCAAAGTCCATAACTTTTTCACTTACACCATCTTGACTCTTCTAGCTTCATGAGACTGGAATCAATGCTCCTTCCTTTGTTACCTTCTCCATTATCATCCTGACTTTTTGCTTGCTCACTTAGTTATCCCAGTTATCCCCTCTTTTTTTCAAATTTCTAATGAAAAGCTATGCCTTTCTCAATACTAAGCCATCAAAAAATTAAGATTTGGGGAAGAAATAGAGCCAAACACTAGCAATACAATGTGTCTTACCTCCTACACCTTCCTCAATATAAGGAATATTTGTTCCTTAGACATCTCAAAGGGAGAGTTTGTTATGTATCCTGATCACCTAATATAGTACCTGGTATTTGGTAAGTGCTTTACAAATGCTTGTTGATTGATGGAATATAATATTGTCCTATAGTGCAGGCCTATCAGTACAGACCAACTAATAGAATAGCTACAAAAGCTTAAAACTATGCAGAGACTTTTGAGACACCCTGTATGAGGTTCCTAGTCCAATGATGTTTCCACTATACCATGCTTCTTCAACACAGTACTAAGTCTCATTTGAGATGTTATTTTTGCTAGCATGGTATTTGTCTCTCAAACATAGTGAGGTTTTAATAGCTATTGAAGCTTAAAATTTTGTGTGTGTGTGTGTGTGTCCACTGCTCTGTGACAGCCTGGACTGTTTCATTTATGTCTTTGTATTCTTAACTTTTATTATAGTGCCTGCGCACAGAGTTAGTTCACTCTATCACCTCATCTGTAAGATGGGTACAGCGCTTTTTCTGTCCAAAAAAGTGCTTTTTCTGTCTGTTCTGTCTTTCCTTTCCCCCAGTTGTGAAAAGGAAATGAGATAATTTATGCACACCATTATATAAATACATATAAGATGGTTTGATGAATTTATTTTCTACTACTACATTACTAGTCTTTGTTTCATTTGTTTTTTCTGTTATGGGTTTGAGACCAATTATTTTGGAACTTTTATAGCAGGTGAGTTTTATTTGAAAGCAGTGCAGTTTTCTGCTCTGCTTGGCACATGTTTTTTGGACTTCAGGAATCTGAAGTATTATTTAGCTACTTGCAAGAAAACATCTGTACGTATGTAGGTAGAATACATATAATAATTCATGTGTTTTCCTTATTGCTTTGTTGCAATTCTTTCTTTGTTTTGTTATAGAATATTCATCTTTATTATTTTAGATGAGTGGGTAACACATCTCCACTAGTTTCATGTAGTTTTATGGTATGAAATGCTTAAATTTGCTTAACTGTTCAGGGTAGAACCCTCTTCCAGTGAAGTTAAAACATTTGGAGTTGGTCAAGAAAGTTTCTTCTATTGAGTAATTTGTTATAATATATTCTGTTTCAGTATCTGTTACTATGGCAATGACTGCGGGGACTACAACAGCTTTTCCCATGAGCAACCACACCCGGGAAAGAGTGACTGTAGCTAAACTCACACTGGAGAATTTCTACAGCAACCTAATTTTACAGCATGAAGAAAGAGAAACCAGGTATGGGAAAAAACTAGTCTAAGTCAATTTCTTATGTTGTTTGGGGTGTTACATTGATTGGTCAGAATACAAGTGTGTTTTCCATTAAGAAGTTTTACAACATGAAGCAAACCATGCTACTTCTGAATAGCCTGCACTTAGTGGAAATTCACGTACTCCTTGATTTGGTTTCCAGAAGTGCTGTCTCAAGGCACATTCAATTCTGATCAAACAAGTACCCAAATCACACACAAACTAAACACACATAAAATTGTCTAGGTGGGAAAAATGTGTTATATCTGTATATTGTTTTTAGTGGACATATTCCCAAGCTGTTGTTTTGTTGTTTTTTTTTTTTTTTAAACTGGTAGTAGCTAACATTTTGAAACCATGTATGTGGGCTTACATAATTGCATAGGACAACCATCCCCTTCTCTACATAGGATACAGAATTAGGGACAAAAATAGTAAGTTGAGAAAATTTACATCTTCATAATAGTAGCCATTGGTACTTTGCAAGATTGACTTAAAACGTATAATAATTACACAATTACAAAATTGTCTGCTTTAATTGTAGGCATTGCCGAAGGTATCTCGGGAATATCAGTTTCCCTACATCTGTCTATTAAAATCCTTCAAAGGTCCAGTTCAAACAAGTTCTGCTTCATGAAGCCTTTTCTGATCCTTCCTGTCAAAAGTGATAGCATAGCATTTTGTACTTCTTACCTCTACTTACTGAATTGTTAGCTTCTTGAGGGCAGACTGATGTCTTATTCATCTTTGTATCCCCTATACCATCTAGCATAGGACGTTATATAAACATAATAGCATTCAATAAATGTTGGGGATAGCTATTTTTGGGTGAATATGGAATGCCCACTGGAACACAAGCTTCCCAAAGGGAAATATTATACCTTCTTATTGCCTTAGCCTTATCTTCCAACTAACATTGGTAAGCGGTGCAGGTCCTTAATTATTATCAGTTTGAATGAATAAATCCATTTTCTGAGGTCTAAAAACATTCCTATAATTTGTTCAAATACTTCTAGCTGGATAGTTTTACCTGGATATTTCTCTGGTACTTCAAACTCTATGTTGAAAATTGAACTCCTCTTACGTCTACTGAAACTTGCCCGTTTTCCCAGTTTCCCTCTTTTGTTGTCGTTGTTGCCGTTGCTGTTGCTGAAGTTGTTGATGGCACTACAAACCTCTCAGGTTGGGCGCCATCTTTGACCCTTCCTTCTCCTTCACAAACCCTCACCAATCAGTTGCCAGGTCCTTTGATATTACTTCACAGTATCTCTTTCATCCAACCCCTACTCACACATCTACTGTCCTATTTCAGGTCCTTATTTTATCCTGGGTTATTGTGACAGCTTCTAAACACTTCTTCCACCTTCCAGCATCTTCTCTTCCAGTCCATCCTTCACACAACTGCCAAAATAATATGAATAATGCATAGGTGTGAGCATGTTGCTCTCCTCCTCACAAACCTTGAGTGATTCCTTGTTGTCTGTAGGATAAAATACAGATGCCTTAGCGGCATTTCAGACGCATCATAAGATAGCTTCGTCTTATCTTTCCAGCCTGATTTCTTACTGCTTTCCTTTACATCTTCTACTCTGTATCATATCTGTATCATACTCTATATCTACGTCTCTGTTTTCCTTCTCTGCATTCACCCAGGCCTTCCCCATGCCTGGGGAATGTGTTACCTCTTCACTAATGCCTGTTGAAATCTTTCTCTTCCTTTAAGGCCTAGCTCTTCCTTGAAGTATTGTGTTATTCCTCCCACCACCCCATTGTTAAAAATGATTACTAGCTTTCTGAATTTTCATGGAGTACTTTGGCCTTTCCCTTTGCACGTAAGATATTTTTTAACCTTATACTTATTTATTTACATGCTATATTCCCTTCTATAAGACCATAAACTCCTTGAGGACAGGGACTATGAATAAGCTTTGCATCCCAAATACCATACATAGTACTTTGCACATTAACAATTACTTCTTAAGTTTTTGTTGAATTGAATTCTGCTTTATAGTACATATGATATATTATAGTTTTGTATGTTGTTATTCAGTCGTTCTAATAGCGTCTGATTCCTTGTGACTCCATTTGGGGTTTTCTTGGCAAAGATACTAGGGTGGTTTGTCATTCTTCATTTTATTCTTTCTCCAGCTCATTTTACAGATAAGGAAACTGAGGCAAACAAAGTTAAGTGACTTAACCAGGGTCACACAGCAAGTAAGTGTCTGAGGTCAAATTTGAACTCAGAGTAAATTGAGGCACTGAGAGGTTATTTCTCTCCTAAAGTTACCCAGCTAGAGAGCAGCTGAGGCAGGATTTGAACCCAAGTCTTTCTAACTCTAAACTCTGTTCCCTATCCATTACAATATACTGCTATCATCTTCACTCTTCTGGATATTAGTTTAAGTAAAAGGTAATTAAATTATCCATACCTTGTAGCCCACTTCATGGGCTTAGGATCCTGGGAAAAAATAATAGCTTGCATTTACCTAGATTACTTATTACTGTAGTATGTTATAGTGTGTATTCATTTGTCTATAAATGAGTGGGTTGATCTCTCAGGTGCCTTTGAATGCTAAACGTGTATTAAGTGAATTAGAGAAAAATATCATTTTCTACAAGGTTTAAGGAAGGGATATCCAACATTTAGACTTGCCTTTAAATGATAGCAAGGTAAAATGTTTTCTACATATTGGTTGATTGCCCAGAGATCAGTCTTTAAGCTTGATGTCCACATTGTGTGCCATTTTCTACCATCTAAGAGAAATTGTGCACTCATTTTTAAAGGAGAGGTTTTCAGAATCTTCCACTCCTGCCATCTTGCTTATTAATCCCTTCTCTCATGTCCACCAAGCAGAGGTTTGAGGAAGTGGTCACTGTCATTGTTAAAGGCATTCTTAATCATTTCTCTGTGTGTCATGCCACGTGAAGTATTATTCAAAATGAATATAAAATTGTCCCTGGCCTTTAGAGCCTGTGATATTAAGAGAGTATGGATAATGACAACAGACTTAGAAAGGACATAGAAAAGTGGGCACATGCAAAAGTCCAGTAGAATATAACAAGAAGATACATATTTTTATGGGGTAATAGGTAGTAGGAAATGATGGGGATTGAAAGTTTACCTAAGGTAGGCCCAGGAGAAACTTCCCACGTTGCTTCCAAATAAAGATGTTTTTGTGATGCATGTGGGATTTCAGGAAAATTTTTAATGAAAGAAGAGGACTTGGCAAGCTTTGCAAAGGGACTTGAAGGAAGACTTGGACGTAGTGGGCTAATTATGCAGATGAGTAGACTTGCTTATTACAGGTTCATTGTAATAATGCTGAGGATAAAGTCAGGACACCAGCACTTGATCAGCAAACTTTAAATATTCTAGTCATAGATTTAATTTCATAGAAAACAAACGTAGGTGACTAAAAATGTGGTTCCAAAGGAGAATCTTGTGCCATGTTATCATTTTGAGTCTATCCAAAGATTTATGTGCCTGCATAATTTTTATCCCAAGTTGGTTAAGTCATTTTAATGCAGAGGCCAGTCCTATTTTAGTATATTCTAATGCTTATTGGTATGTGGCATCCCTGTTTTCCCTTAGGTAGAGTTGTACTGTAAAATTACTAACTGCAGCATTTGCTTGGCAATAAGTTACAAAATTTCCTCCTTACTTCCCTTCTGCTCCCTCATGCCAAAACACACAAATATTCTCTCTCTCTCTCTCTCTCTCTCTCTCTCTAGCACACAACAAAGACCTTAGCAACAGTGCCTAGAGTGGCTTTCATTTAATTGATTGATGCCCTTCAAACATTTTTCATAAATAATTCACTTTTGCTACCTGTAACAATAGTATTAGCATAAATTCTGTGTTATTTGGATGATGGTGATTAGGCCAGCATAGTTAATTAAATGTCCTAGTCAATAATAATTTGACATATGGACATATATAGATACCATCCTCTCCTAAAACCCTACTCCTGTTCCATTTGTCTGGACCTGTAGTGTAGGGAGCTGCTTATGAGGAACTTCCCTCTTCCAATGCAGTTCCACACCCTTCTCCATTACTTACAGTCTTAGGAGAGTTCCCTGGGGCCCTGAAAGGCTGCGACTGACTCAGAGTCCCATAGCCAGGATGTCAGAGTTGAACCTCGAACCAGATCTTCATTCTGAGGTCAGCTCTCTACTACATCATACTGCCTCCATGGCTTTGTAATTATCAAACAGTTAAAATACTGCAAATATTTTGATACCTGCCAGGATGTCAAAGGTGAACCTGGAACCAGATCTTCTTCATTCTGAGGTCAGCTCTCTGCTATGTCATACTGCCTTCATGGTTGCATAATTATCAAACAATTAAAATATTACAAAATACTTTTGATGCCAAACTGTTTTTAACATGATTTTTTACTTGGTGATTTAGAAGACACTTTAGAATCTTGCCTTTATTCAGGTTTGCTGTTATAAATGTAATAGGTGCAAACAGTACTTGCCCATTGTGTAATGCCTCACACCTTTAATTTGGATACATGGACACCTACTTGCCTTTTGGGCTGCCTTACTCATTCCAACCTACTCTCAGACCGGCAGATCTAGTTTCTCAGAGAAGGACTGAATTTTCTGGTGGTACCTAAGCCACAGAACTGACACCTGAATTGTGCTGGAGAAGACTTTGGAGAGTCCTTTGGACAGCAAGGAGATCAAATCAGTCATTACTTAAAGAAATTAACTCTTAACTATTCATTGGAAGACAAATATTGAAACTGAGGCTTAAATACTTTGGCCACTTAATTAGAAGACAAAACTCATTAGAAGAGACTGATGCTATGAAAGATTGAAGGCGAAAGGTGAAGGGGACAGCACAGATCGAGATAGATAGTGTCATGGAAGTAATGAACATGAGCTTGGGCAGACTTTGGGAGATAGTGGAGGACAGAAGGGCCTGTTTTATGATCCATGGGGTCACAACGACTCTGACATGACTGAATGAATGAACAGCA